CAAGTAACCACTTCGAGAGCTGGAGCCTGAGACCGCTAATGAGTTGAGATTGCTTGGAGGGATTTTCACGCGAATGAATTGAGAACACTGGGATAGAGCATTTTAAATCGACTGTAGAGGTTAAAGTATCCTGACAATAAAATAGATCAAAGATGTGTTAGTCAGTTGAACGTTAAATTATGCAAAAACCATTTAACTAGTTACTAGCTAAATTTTATAAATTAAGTTTCTTTAGGGAGACAAAGTAAGGAAGCTTGGTGAACCATTTTAAATCTACCGTAAAATTTAAAGTATCCTGAAATTGTTTTAAAATTCAGATACTCACCAGAACCACTCAACCACTCTCTTAACCGCATTTTAGTTAACGGGTTTTTCGACATTAAATCATTATTTTCTAATAGAAGCGTAACTTCCATGATCTGGAACATTTCTGATTTACCTGAATTCCTTCTGGTGACACATTCTGCTGCTAAATACACTAAATATCTAACTACACACTTTGGGTCGTTCGATAGACAGCTGGGTTGTAATTTGAAGTAATGGGGCTGTCTTATGAACAGACAATATGAGAGCTAGAAATAAACCTCATTTGACCACTTTAATGTCGTGAAACCGCCATATAATCTTAGTGACATGAATTTGGTGAGTTTTTAAAACGTCCCACGACTCTCTAAGAGCTAAGTTGTTGCCATGGTGTTGTTGCCATGATGTGATGATGTCGAGGTTAAGTACCCGTCGCTGAAGCTGTTGATGAAATTTGATTGTACTTGTAGCAGCTTAATATGATATTTTCAATTTTCATCTTTATTTTTCTGAAGCATTTTAGATTGCTGCCTAGATGCCTGTGCACAACAGCCTTTTCTGAAATGGCTGATCCCTCTTATTTTTGCTCATCACGTGCCAACGACAAGATACAGACCTGAAACGAGGTAACTATGGCAACGAGGTAAAGCTTTGATTCAAGAATAAAGATTGGAAACATAAGAGAAAGAAACAGCTCGGCTGCTGGTTGACTTCCTTTTTAATCCATTGTAACATTTTCCAACGCTCAATTTTAAGACAATAGAGTACCAATACCATTATCGTATTGTTCATAATGATGCCTCAGCATCATCCTCTGCCAGTCTGCCAAGTCGTCATGTCGTCAAGTCGAGCAAGCTACGATTGCTTCTCCAAGCTCCCATTTGGTAACATAACCTTTAATATAATTTGATTAATTTGTCTCAAATTCATTAATTAGAGTAACGTGTGATGACATCTTCCTTTCTGTCACGCTTACAAAAGCTTCGTCTGTACAATCATATGTTACTCAGTCTTATTTTAGTAATCTACAGTGGCACAGTTTTAAGCTCTGGTAATGCAGCTTCAGGAGTAGGAAAGTCAAAAGTTAGAGAGGGGGTTAAAGATGTTGTCACTTTGATACTTTCCTCCCTCAATGCCACAAGGAATTTTGTCCAGGTTATTCGATCGCTGCTCACGAACAACGCGGATTACTTTTTTATAAGCTGTACTTTTAGTTTTAGATGATAACCGCATTGTGGTATTGTTTGTATTTTTAGTCCTTTTTCGTTGTCAGTTTCAGAATGGAAGTCACCAAATAATGGCATCATTAAACCGTTCACTAAACGGTTCGTTACGAAATTCTATTTCTGGGAAATCGTGGTTATGATATTTGAAACGATTTCACCAGTTACCTATTTATTAGCAAAATCTGTAGACTAGCAGGAAATTTACACATAAATTCGAATATTTTACTAAATTCTTTTATAGTTGAAAGTGCATTTACTTAACCTGCAAATTCTCTGGAAGGTTATAATTAGACCAGTACAATGGTGTCAGATTCTGCCTTCGTAAGCCTGACCCATTTTCGAGTCTGGTACAAATGAAAAATTGTGGTAATTGTGGGTCCTCTGTTAAAGTTGCAAGCTATGACACCTCCTTTGATGCAGTTACCGTTTAAATGCAGTATCCTTTCCTAAAGCATTTATGCTTAAACTAGACAATGAACGTATTTTAGGTAAGTATAAGGTTAAATGCAGCTTTGAAATATTAAATTTCGTAGGCAATTAGCCTTAAAAGCCTAAAGCTGGTGTCTCAACGTGTCGTCTGCAACGTTAAATTAGTACCTGGTAAACATATAATTCTATAAGCATATAAAGGCTTTATTATTTACTCTCATTATACGTTTCCTTGTATTTGGATAATCCATATTTATGTTTTTTATTATTTTGCGCATGCCAAATGCTACATGCTACATGAAGAGGTCTCCTCCTAGTCGTTGGAGTGGCCTGCATCTCACACATCTCTTCTACGGCGTAACATGTTCCTCCATTCCACTCACTTTAGAGCCAACTGTTTTACTGCATCTCTGCTGATGTTATCGACACCTGTAAATTCAGCCGCATCCTCGAGTACACAGGCCATCCAACATGTTCCTCCATTCCACTCGCTTTAGAGCCAACTGTTTTACTGCATCTCTGCTGATTTTTATTATTTTGCGCATGCCAAATGCTACATGCTGCATGAAGAGGTCTCCTCCTAGTAGTTGGAGTGGCCTGCATCACACACATCTCTTCTACGGCGTAACATGTTCCTCCATTCCACTCGCTTTAGAGCCAACTGTTTTACTGCATCTCTGCTGATGTTATCGACACCTGTAAATAAAAATTCAGCCGCATCCTCGAGTTCACAGGCCATCCAGCCAAATATTCAGTTTTATTCATAGTTGAGAATAACGCACTCCGCGAACTTTAAAAATGAATTATCGAACTCTTACCGAACTTATTAACCGCATTTAAATTCACCAGCAGTTTGCCTTTATTCACCTGTTTTGTGTTATAAGTTATTTGTCTCAAACTACCCAACTATGGCTTTATTACACTTATACGAGAACGCAAAAAATTACAAATAAATTGCATTCATATCCAGAATAAGTTTGTCTTTGCTCGATGCTGATCTAAAACCATTGGAAATTTGTGAGATATTATTATTATGAAAGCGATGATGCAAAGCTGGCATAAATCACAAAGCATGATTATCAAATTTTCTGAAAGTAGAGTTGCGAATCAAATCCCATCAAATTAAAACGATATATTTCAATTACCATTATAAAGTCTTGTACCTACTTTTTTGGGCGTTCCTATGAAATTATAGTAATCGCAATCATAGAGGTGGTTATTGATACAATTATTATATGAGTAATATCTTCATCTCTTGAATATACCTGTCAAGTAGTCAAGTAGCTAGTATCTTGTAATAAATAAGCTACTGATCGCAAGTCTTAATATGGTCTTGATTTTGTTATGCTCAGTTTCTTATAATCTGATATACTGGTTACGGTTATCTAAACTTCTGTACAGATAAGGAGCAATAAGCTATGTTTTGCGTAATAAAGCTGGTTGCTCCTTCATAAAGTAATTTACAGATGTTTAAAACGGTACCAATGTTTCGTGAACACCCTGTATTTGCTGATATGTCGGTTCTGTATCTGCGGAAATGTTTCATTTCGTTTCTGGTGCTTTAAATCAAAGACAATTGTTATAATTTGTGTGTAAGTCTGCTCTATATATCAGACGGCCTTAAAATAATTTTAATAGAATCATAATTTAATTCAAATTTATTGATACATAGGGTAAAGCACATAATTTTGTCATTTTTTGGCAATTTTCCGACTGCCTGATATAAACCATGGGTTTTAACCTCGTCTGAAATTCCGATTTAGATGAAACCTCCACCATGTTATAGTAGACAGTCTAGGCAAGTTCTAACACAAAAATGATCGAAATTGCTGGGGTTGAAGATGTTCAAAAAAATTATTTTGAAAAAATGACAAAATTAGGTGACTTTACTTAATTTTGTCACCCCGAACCTAATTTTGTCACTTGAAGATTGTGCAAAAAGTAACCGTTTCTCGGTATTTTAGACTACCTGGATGCATCATTCGAGCGCTTTTTTACCAACATTGACCTCAAAAATCCCAAAGATATGATGTTTTCATAGTTTTGTAGCTTGATGAAAAGATGACACTTTTTGGGTATCTAATCTTAGAAAATAGCCCCAAATGCCCCTGAAACCACTGGCATCTTGAAAAACGATTGGTTCTAGGCCTAGGTTGAAATTTTCATGTCTGTATTTTGTTAGTCATTTTAGATTGAAAAAATCAGATTATCCACCTAATATTTCTCGGCGAAAATATGCTATTATAAGTGTTATAAGTGCCTTATACATATCCTATGGGCAAAAAAACTTCAGAATAGTTGTATAAGGCCATTTTCAACACAATCTGTGATTTACAAGAAATTTGAGAAAGGTCGATTTTTTTGACAAAATTAGGTACTTTTGGCAAAATCGAACCTAATTTTGTCACCCTCTGTAACTTAAACAATAATTGCGCTAGAGACTTGAAAATTTGTACGTATACTTCTGCTGTAGAAGATATTTGAAATATGCAATGGCATGAAGCTAGCTCAATTACTTTTGAAATAGCAATAAATCAAAATTTTGAAAATTCCTTAAGAAAACCTTAAGGATCTTATTTATTTTTCGGGTTAACAGTTTCGCCTTCATTTTTGACACAGATGCAAAAGAGCTAGAAACTTAAACTTTGTACGAGCAGTTTCAGCAAAGTCTAAGCTTTCTTTATATACACAATCCTTTTCTTTCAAGCTGAAATTCCGAGCCGAGGCAGTTTTTCAGAGCAAAATGACAAAATTAGGTACCCTGACAAAATTATGTGCCTTACCCTACATGTCTATTCTATGTTTTAGGTTCGTCACTTATGGGTGAAGTCATCAACAGCCGTTTTGTATCCCTCCGGCCTCCTGGCTCAGGAGTGGCCTTGCAGAACTAGTAACAATTCGTATGAGCTTTGGGAGTTTATGAGTTTTAATGTTATACTCATTTTATTTACCGACTTGCAAATTATACCATTGTTGCTCCCATGATTATTGCGCAACCCCCACTAAATTCATGACTAGCTAATGGAAATCTCCCCAAGCATGGATGCCAAAAACTCAACTACATACCTATTTTCAACGACCGAAACTCCAGTTTCACCTGGTACTTACATCCTAGAAAGTATGTATCTACTGAATCGATACGAAACAATCTTCCTGACAACCTATGAGATCCTCTGTACAGTGATGACGATTTTCTTTAATTATTACCTCCTGTTCCTCATCATCTGCAAGGTAAAATTAGATAATTTATATACAGTAAATAAAATAGTCAGTTGCTGAACAGATTAATTTCATAGTTTCTATCGTTGATTTTGGTCAGTTATTTGATTCAGTCCCAACAATTGCCAAAAATGTTGGGGTTAATTTCTCGTCATTCATCCAAGGGTGAACTGTGAAATGTGAATGATGTACGATAATTCAGGTGAAAGTTGATAACCATCCACAATCAATCCCAATGTTCACTGCCGCTGTTCTGGGTCTGTTTCACGGATTTGGCTGCAATCTGATGATGACGATATCTCTGATACACGGTGACTGGGTCGGTCCCATGGACTGGTGTGGGGCTGCAGCCAACATTCACAAGTACATCGTCTACAGCATCATCTACTGCCAAGTCGTGGTCTCCCTCGAGGTACCAAGATTTTAAATGGTGCCTGACTAATCATTCTTAACAAGATGAAATGAAATCTCGTAATTTTACGCGATAATAATTCAATATTTGACGTTTGTCACCCTAGATGTTTCAAGTTCCATCCCTCTAACACACATTGATTTTCCCAGGTGGCGTACATGATAAGTCACCCTCTCGGCTACCTAAGAGACAGTACCGGTGCTCTGATAGCGATGTCTGTTGCCACCTTTACAGCTGTCTTCATAACCCTACCTGTTACGGTGGCCCAGTTCTTCTTCTTGTTCCCGGACAACATCCAGGAGATGTGGCCCCAGGAGTACGGGAGCTTGATTGTAGCCAAGGACTACAAGTATTATTACTATGATCAGTTCCTCACGCTGTGCTACCGGTACTTCTTTCCGGGGACGCTTGATTACAGGATTATAGTTTATTTCATCAACACTGTGAACGCTGTCGCTGTACTTCTTATAGCCGTCTCCTTCATTGTAATATCTTTTGAGATTATCAAAAGCAGAAATGAGGAAAGAATAACTGTGCAAAGCCCCGAAGAAAGAAAGAAACGGAACAGACGCCAGAACTTTAAGATTGCCCGAATATCCGTTCTCTCCACCTTCTGTGTAACGTTACCATGGCTACCTAGTTTGGTGATCAGCATTATCACGGATTCTCTGGGTTACCAATTTCTCATTGAAACTGTTGGACATGATTCAGCTACGAAGTTACTAAGATGGAATCAGTTCCTCTACTATTTAGTCTCCTGGTTATTCCCCCTGATGGTAATCATGACAGACCCTGCTCTTAGCCGAGCGAGCAATAGTTATATCACTGTCAAGGTTACGGATGCTATACAATTCAGTAGATTCAATAGTAAGGCTGACTTGCCGAATATTGTTCTGAGTCCGCTAACAGCGCGCTCATTCGTGCAAACCCCGGAATATAGGGTGAACATGGTCGCTTTAGGAGCCAAAAAATACAACTTGACTTCATCGCCAGCGGTTTCCAACATTGATACAAATAGTGTGAAAAGCTTTGGTACAGATTAAAAGACGGATTGTTTCTTGAGGAGTAGCACGTGTGATCTTTAAATTTACACGTTTTTATCAACAACTGTTATGTCTATTATAAATTATAGTGTTTCCATGGCGTATGCTGTATTGCTGTTATTCGTTTTCTTATAACAAATTAATAATACTTCAATTCATCAGGTATTTTTGTTTCTCCCGAATTCAATCGCAATAGTTAAAATCCATGCTGAAGGAAAATCGAATAATCGTTGTTCCATTAGATTATTTCGACGTTTTTACCCATGCAATTATCTGATTATCATGGAAAAATGTTTTAATTGCAAACGAACGGCAAATTATGAATGAAATTATATTACATTGATTCGTGTATCGATATACCGATACACCTGCCAACACCTCTACAATATTGAGAGGTTATGTAGGGAAAGTAGTAGAAAATACTCGTTCAAAGTTACGAAGGGAAATTAATTCCTCTTCATAATGTTCGAACTCGAATATGTACAGTTTAGTTAGAGTCTGACCGTCACTGCCCTTCTTGTTATTGGCGCGATACTTGGTTGTAGATCAATGCAGTACTGCACTCTGCAAGCTCTCGTAACTATGGTAACTCGGCAAGCTGTCAATCAAAATGGTTGTCTCTACTCTTGGCAAAATCGTTTGCAAAGCTGCTGGGTTTGACATCGACTACTATGGTAACTATGTGTCTGTTGAAGGCACCAAAATAGTATATGAAATAGAATTTGGCATATATTTCCTACTGAGTGATCTTCATGAAAGTCAACATGTCATTTCCTCGCCTAAGCACGCTATTAATTGGAATCACCACTGTCGAGTTTCAGGAGTATACTCTGGTTGCAACAAGAAGTGATGCCATTTGCTGATTGTACAAACCTATCATGCTTCTCGTTGTAACTTTATGATTGCATTACCTTGTAAGCTCATGCTTCACTACGACAGTTCATATTCATCATCGTTTCTGCCCCTGGATTGAATGACTTGCATTCTAGATAGTTTCATTAATATGCGACGTTAATCTTTTTGGTGCCTGCTTGCTATTTGTCCGTTAGAAGATTGGATCGTGCAATTGGATATAAATTTCAAGGTCAGGTATGTTTTTATATGAAGAATGAATGGCCTCAACTCAATCCAATTGTGGTGTTTTTTTGGCAAGGGAAGGGGACGGACATATTAGGTGAAACCATAACCTTGTTCCGGTTTAAAACGCTGACTTGCTTCGAATTGCTGGAACCAAAAGCTGGTCCCCAAACAAACATTGCCATAAACCCAGATTTACCGTGACTGTTTACCTCCACCCAAAGTCTGCTGTAAATCAGGGTTTTACGGTTTATTATTACTTTTTTAGCATGTCTTACCCCTCCAACATCGGGTAAGTATAGTTTAAGTATCAATCAGCCAGGAAGCTCCTAATTACCTAACTAAGTCAGCGACATTAGTTATAACCATTAGTACTAGACAAATTTATGGTAATGAACTGCCATTCTTTGACATTTGACAAGGTTAATGGTTATTTACTCCGTTGACCGCTACTAGTTGGCTATGACAATTGACAAGGTTAATGGTGATTTACTCTGTCGACCGCTACTAGTTGGTTTATGCCTGGCTAAGCCGGTCACCCATTGAGTATTGACATTCTTGTAATGATCAACATTTGGTATACGTATAGACTATAGATTAAAGTCGCATCGGCCTATTGCTTTTTATATACAAATTGTCGTGAATACTAACATAAGTGCAGATAAGTGCACCACTATCGTCAAAGTCATTATTAGTCATTGTTATTGAATACTGATCTTATACCGTATTATACCTTTGCTAACATTTTTGTCGCGGACCAAATTTGTCGGATTTCGAGATACTTAGCATATTTTGCCATATTTCGCCATGTAGTAAATTTTTCTAAGTTTCTATTAGAGACTTGAGTATAGGTGCAAAGTTATTAAGTTACTGCAATTTATAAAAATGAACTTCGTCTGCTCTAACATTATTTATATTGTTAAGCTTAAATCTCTCGAATTAGAGTAAGGTATTAAAGTTATGACAATAGAATTACTTGACTTTAGGAAACTTAATATGAGTAGATTACATATCTGAATAATATTAAGTGCTCGACATTGGTTTCTTTTCATGAAAAATCTCTAAGTTTGAATTGAGTTACTCCACATTTCTAAAGCTATAGTTTCTAAAATTAAGTTTCTAAAATTAAAGTCACTCACTACGTTGGTTAAATTACCCTGATGTCAACCTTTTCTATTATTGAACTCATTAGTCAAAGCTAATTTTAGACAAGAAAATGCATGGAAATAAATATGTCAGATTGTAGTATAGTAGTAGTATAGTAGTAGTAAATGCATGGAGATAAATCCTTCATATCGTAGTACATGACCAAACATGGTCCATATCAGTTTATTTAATTCTATCTGAGAGTTTGTTCGTTTCAAGTGCTTATAAAATTGTTGATTACTGATCAACACAGTGAGCCGATGAATTTGAGAATATTTCATTATAGATTATAGATAATAATAATATGAATAAGAATACTAATAACAATATTAATAAGAATATTATTCAAAATATTAATAAAATAAAATCAATACAAATATTAATAATAATTAATATTGTGAATTGATCAATCTGATGTTAACTTTACTACTTCCCAACACATTAGTCAAATTAAGCTTTAGGGACGGAAATATATACATACATTCAGCCACATTAGCTATACAACCATGGTAATTTGTCGCCGGACCCCTGACGATGATTTTATAAATCCCTCTAAGGATCGTCGCTAAAGCCCATATTCTTACAGCATTTTATTTCGATTTTGACATTCGTGTAATTTAATATCCTTTATTGATAAAAATATTTTACCTACCTACTATACCCATTCTCAATTCCTACCACTTCTAACCATCTTATACTTTTTTGAAAAAAAAATTGATGGAAAAAATAACTTAATGGACTGCACATCTGTTTGGTTATAATGTCATAATATAATAATTAACCATCTGTCTATTCTTAATAACAGTTGTATAGTTAATACAATATACTAATAATACAATGAAATAGTCCAGGCGTCCAGCTGCTCTGCTCAGTTGCTCATATAGTCTGGTGCAATGAGACATGAATTATGATTAGTCCCAAATACATCATCGTCAATGTAACACAATCACAATGGAAATTATTGTTATATATAAACATATATATATATGTTTTATGTTGAATTATGTTGTATTAAGTCATCATGTAACGACGATTTTTAAAATTATCCTCCGTCATGAGGACGAGGATTATAGCGGTGGGGTTATACTGAAACATCGTGCGGTTTATCGAATACTAGTTTGTTTCTAGTATCTACTAATGGTTTATTAGTCATAACTCATAACTATTATTTAAATCTATAGCTTTATAGTAACAATAACCTTATGATTTAAACTTATAAAAATAATTTGTGCTGTACTCGTCTGCTTTAGTACTCTTCTAAGCAGAGTATATTAAGAAACATTCAACCATCGACTTGGCGACAATTACCGAATGATTATAGATGTAATAGCCAACCCTGCCCTGCATGTTGGTCTTGAACATACGATGAATCAGCACAATCATGTATTTATTAGAACTAATAATGATAAAACAACATATTATGATTGTGTATGACTATTATTATGAATTTCTCAAATAACTCATCGAGTAAGCTCGATTTAACATTAAAACGCAACATCGCTTAATACATTTGGAACTATTAATGTGGAATGTTTATGTGTTTACTCGCACAATTACATTAGTTTTATTACGTATATCATCATTGAAACTGTGCTATTCTGGTATGCTGTCTAACTCATTGTCATGTTGTCCAACTATTAGTTTACACGTTTATTTTATTAATCGTTTAGACTTTAGTTCATTGATATCGTTTATTAATCGTTTAGTTCATTAATATGCCTAGAAAGTTGCTGTATCATATTATCACGTTGAGTAAGTTTCTCCAGTTCAAGTATTGACAGCTTATCAATGATGTTGATCTGAAGCGTGAGCAGTAGATCAGGCTCGCTTTCCCTCTAATCAGTGTAGCAACACTACCAAATAAGGATACGTTACCGTAGCAACACTACCAAATAAGGATATTTTACCGTAGCAACACTACCATATAAGGATATTTAACCGTAAAGATATGATCTCTTAATCGTGCTCGCTTTCCCTCTAATCAGTGGATCTTTAGAAAACATTTGACACCTTGTTATTTTCTAATCGCAGCAGCTCTCTCGGGATTAATCTAACTGCTGATACAACTGTTAATGCTTCTAATAGAACTGTAGTGCTTCATACTAATATCGTTAACACGTGACTCCCTAGCAGCTAATATCGAGGATATTAAACTATTAAACTATATCCACGTTTTGTTTATTGTATCAACGTTTCTTATCATAGCAAGCTGTCCGCAACGAACTGATAACTTACAAAGCTATAACACTGCTTATACCGCGTTAAAACAGTAATCCCGTGTTACTGATATCTATAATTATATAGCCCCCACTTTTAAAACTGTTAACAAATTGCACGTCATCCAGAAGTGCATGTTTAGTGTCTTCAATACTGTGCTGCTGATATAGTGCGTGTTTTACAGTCCGTTCCGTATGGCTTCACAGGTGTTCGAAGTCTCGTTCTTACTTCAGGCACGCGTCTATAGGCTGTAGAAGGACAAGGTGTTGACTGAAAATATTTGCAACCAACTTAGACAGTTGACATAATCCCCGCGCTGTTTCTTCTTTCTTTTCGACGTTTGTTCGTTTATTCGTTATAGGTACGCTGTTTATTGGACAAGCTTCAGAGGTGCTGAAGAGTAAATATATTTGTTACGATGCAACGAAAAACTTTCATTTAGTATTAAACACGTGCTAAAAAGGTTTTGTTACGCTTTGGGAGACTGTGGTTGAACCTCTCAAAAATCATGGCTGCATAAAATCCGCCGACCTGGCAGTTGGTACTTTTTAAAACTTCTTAAACATTTCACCATAATTTCACAATATAATAATAATTTTCATTATTTTATCTAAATTATATTAATAAAAGGACCCCCTGGATGCCCTATTTTTGATATCTAAGATTTCCCACAGCATTCGATCGCGTAGACCAGTTAGAATTCGAACATGTGGTTAGA